AGACTCTGATCCATGCAGCCTGCACTTGCTCCGAGCTGATCCTTCATAAACCCCCCTTGGTTTTTCCTTCTCCTCCATTCTATTCTGTACCACTGCCCAGAGAACCTCCAAAAAACCATAGCCCATGACCAACTGCTCCAAATGTGGTCACATCAGAAAGTCCTGGATGGAGTAGAAGAAAAGTGTGAAATAAAAGTAGAAATCATAAAAAACTGAGCCAGCTTGGACAGGTTGGACAGAGACTGGTCGAGCTCCTGAAACCATGGCCCCCAGTCTCCCTGCAGGTCTAGAAAGGAAGTCACTCCCATGGCTTCATTTGAAGCCAAACAACATGTTGGTTCACAGGGGAATATAACACTGTGGAGAAATGAACACCAAAGAATCATTCCTGGTTTGAGATTCAAAGGGCAGCATTAACCAGGGACAAGGCTTGGAAGAGTTAGAAAGGAAGAAAGCATGGGAACGGGAAGCATGGGGAGGGAGGGGAGATGAGGGTTGTTACATTGTGGGGATTCAATCCCATGACACGAAATGTGTGTGAAAGGTCTAACGGAAAACTGATTTTCTCCATCAACCTCCACCCAATTCACAATAAAACGTTAAAACAAAGCAAAACAAACAAAAACCGGTTGCCAAGGAGTCAACTCCAACTCATGGTGCCCCCCGCGTGTGTCAGAGCAGCACTGTGCTCCATTGGGTTTGCAAAGGCTGATTTTTTCAGAAGGAGATCTCCACAACTTTCTTCTGAGGTACCTCTGGGTGGAGTTGAACCTCCAACCTCTCAGTTAATGTCTCAGTGTGCTCACTATTTGTACCACAAAGGATTCCAACCAGAGCTTCCCCAACCAAACACCAAACCCACTGCCATCTACTTGATTCTGACTCATAGCGACCCTACAGCACAGATTAAAACTTCCGCACGGGGTCACGATGAGTCAGAACTGACTCCACGGTACTTAACAACAACAACAACATAGGGTTTCTAAGGCCGCAATCTTTGTAGAAGCAGACAGCCCCATCTTTCTTCCACAGAGGGGCTAGTGGATTCAAACTGCCAACCATTCGGTTAGCAGCACAATGCTTAACCCACTTCACCACCAGCACTCCATAGTCAAAGTCCCTCAAAGCCACTGCTGCCAAGTCAGTTCTGACTCATAGCGCACCTGTAGATGATTTCTAACACTGTAAATCCATATGAGAGTACACAGACTTATCTTTTTCTCACTGAGTATCTGAACCACCAATCTGCAGTTAGTTGCCCGCGCCTAACCTGAGGGCTGCGGCATCAGACACTGCCAATAGACGAACCAGGCCCTATATCCTTCACACCAGACAACCCAAGTTCTAGGATGGATGGTGTAACCCCATTAGGAGGGCTGGTCCGTCTTCCACCCACAGACAGAAGCTCTAGGTTTTTGCTCAGAATAAAGAATTCCACGTGAACCGATTACTCCCAACCCTTAGCAGTTGCAGGGAGTAATTATATTATTTTATAATGGGAAGGTTTCCTAGGGTGCACTGGAAACGAGGTTTGTGTCGGCGTGCACCTTGCTGTTCCCGACATGTGTGCTGTCTCTTGGTAAGACACAGAACTTGCTTGTCTAATCTCCAGCAAGCACTGATTTATGATTCCTTCCTGTGCTTCTATTAATAGCATGGGGCTCCAAATCAATGCTGATTGCATGCAAATGCTGCTGCTGAACCGGTCTTTGCTGGGATGGCGAAAACGGTGGTGGCTCCCATGAAAAGCCACCTGTGTTAACAACCCAACCCCAAGAACACCAGACTCCTAGCCACCAGCCGGGACAGAGCAGAACTGCCCAACCCAAAGGGTTTTCAAGGCTACAAATCTTTATAGGAGCGGACAACTTCATGCTTCTCATTTACAGCCTCCCCAAATGGCATTCTAGTTCCAGAGACAGAGAAACAGCACGCATGATACATGCGATAGCTACTATTGTGTCTTTAGTGTGCATTTGGAAACAATGTATAGTTAGGAGTGCAACTGGAAACAATGTGTTGTTTAGAGTGTGTTTGGAAACAATGTACAGTTTAGAGTGTGTTTGGAAATAATGTACAGTTTGGAAACTGTGTTGTTTGGTCTGTGTTTGGAAACAATGTGTAGTTTGGTGTGCATTTGGAAACTCTATATAGCTTGGTATGTATGGACTTCGGTGGTTCTCTTATATGTCTAGGGTTCCTCACTTATACATGAAAACTTCAGACGAGGCAACTTCCAAGTTCCTTTTTAACCTCAGACTGTCATTTCATAATACAACAGGAGGCAGTACAGAAACACAAGGAAATTTCAAGAAAGACTAGGAAAGAGAAACCAGGACATTTTCTCTAATCAGAGTCATAAAAATAAGTCATTCTTTTTATGGCTTTTATATAAATAGATACAACCCGTCCCCCCTCACTATGTGTGTGTGTGTGTTTTCCTTGGAAACCCTATGGCTATCAGGCATCTGGGGCATAGGAAGATTCTCATGGGAAATCAGATTTTAAAAAATCAAAAACAAAAGTGAAGGAAGCCCTCAAAGAGTTGGCTGGACAGAGAAATGGCAACCGAGGACTCAGGCATCCGAGCAGTCCTGAAGAGGAGCAGGATGGGTAATGTCTTCTTCTGTCGTGCATGAGGTCGCCACGAGTCAGACACAAGTCAGTGGCAACTCACAACTTCATAAAACATTATAGAATCTACCTGCGTCCGTCTCTTCTATTTTTTGATCAACTGTTATTAAGAGCTTCTGAAACGGTAATTAGGAAAACAATACCATTTACAATAGCCACCCAAATGATAAAATAAACCTAACCAGAGAAACAAAAGACCGAGACAGAGAAAACAACAAAATATCACTACAGAAACCAAACAAGGGCTTTACAAAAGTGAAAGAATATACCATACTAATGGATAGACGACTTTAAAACTGTGAAAATGCCAATGCTACTTAAAGCAATCTATAGTTACAACGCAATCCCAACCAAATTCCAAAAATATTCTTGAAAGCGATGGGAAAAATGACCACGAACACTATATGGAAAGGAAAGAGATTTTGGATAAGTAAAGCACTACTTAACAAGAAGAACAAAGTGGGAGACCTCTCACACCTTGACCTCAAATTCTACTACACGGCCACAGGGGTCCAAACAGCTTGGTACTGGTACAACGCAAGATGCATAGACTCATGGAATAGAATTGAGAACCCAGTAGTAAATCTATCCACGTACGGTCTTTGACATCGGTCCAAAACACCTATTATTAAGAGCCTTTGGGATTTTAAAAATCTATCTCTCTTAAAGTTTCTGAACCATTTCCAAACAGATAACAATGCAAGCAGAATGTTCTTCGGAAGAAAGGATGCTGAGACGTCATCGTGGTGACTATGAGCATCGAGAAAGACCCACGGCTAGAACAGGACATCACAATTGTACAGGCGAGGCCAGGACTGATGGGGAGTCCCCCCATGGCATGGCATGACAAAGGGGTCACAATCATGGGCTCCAACACCCCAGTGATGGGGAATATGGTTCAAGATGGGGGCCACGTTTTGTTCCCTGTACACAGCACTATGATGAGGTGACAATGACTTACTTACCAGCACCTAGCAACAACATGTATTTGTGTGTAGTCACCAGCTTCTGGAAAAAGACAACATTAGGCTAAAGGAAGGGTCATCAAAAATGAGGGAGACCCCCAGCAAATGGGCTTACACAATGACCACAACTGGGGACTCAAAACATCCCAGTGATGGTGCAGGTGAGGCGGCCCAGACCCTGTTCCTTCTATTACACATGGGGTCATCATGAACCAGGGCAATGAACACAATGTAGACTTAAATGGAGTGACCAGCTGTAAGAACAGTACATCCTGGTGGGTAAAGTGGAGGGTCAGTGAACACCTGGAAAACCCCCAACAAAATGAATTATCCACAACAATGGTTCCAAGCACATCAACAATCGGCAAGATGGAGCAGCCAGGACACTGGGTTCATGTTTTGTTGGGGTGTGCGTGGGGTCACCGTAAATTAGAGTTTGCTTGATAGAAACTCGCAACAACCATGGTATGGGTTGTAGCTGCATGTAAAGAAAACAAAAATCCTCCCCACTGGACCAACAAAAAACATACACAGAGAAAACAATGAAGTTGTGAAGACTTCATTTTACTTGGATCCACTTCAACATTCACGCAAGCAGTAGCCAAAGAAATGAAAAACAGATTGCATCAGGCAAATGTGACACCTCTTTAAAGCATTCAATAGCAAAGATGTCAGTTTGAGGGCTAAAGTGTGCCCGACCCAAGCAAGCCCTGGTGTTTCAATAACCTCATATGCATGTGAAAGTTGGGCAATGAATAAAGAAGAGCATAGAAGAATTGATGCATTACAGTTATGGTGTTGGAGGAAAATATTGAAAGGACCATGGATTGCCAAAAGAACAAATACATCTGTGTTGTAAGAAGTATAGCCAGAGTGCTCCTTAGATGCCAGGATACAGAGATTTCCTCTCTCATACTTGGAGTATGTTACCAGGAGGGACCAGTCCCTGGCGAAAGACATCATCCTAGATAAAGTGGAAGGTCAGCATAAAAGAGGAAGACCCCTAATAAGATGGCTTGTCAAACTGGCACCAGAAACAGGCTTAAGCATATGAACAACACGAAGAAAGGCGCAGGATGGACATTATTTCATTATGTTGTGCAAAGGGTTGCTATGAAATGGGATCTCCTCAACAGCACCTAACAACAATGTAAACAACATGCATATGTGTGCGAGGGGGGCTTCAGTATTTCAATACTGAAAACTGGAGTTGAAAAATAATGGAATTCCCCTCCATGAAAAATCTGAAGCCCTTTGCTGGGAAAGCACATGGTGGGGTGGTAACTAGAGGGTCCATGGAAACCATGGACACCCTCAGACCATACAACAGTGTGGAAACCACCAGAGGAAGGGACCCAGCCCTCAGAGGAAGGGACCCACCCACCCGGAGACCACACCTACCCACGCTCCAGTCCATCTCCTCAGCTGCGTCCCCGTAAGCGCCATGTTGACTCTTGCCGGCGAAGTCCTGGGAGGAGAAGAGAGCCGTGTGCACGTGCAGGTAGGAGAGGACCAGCAGGAAGGGGGTGTCCGCGTTCCTGCAAACACAAGCCACCTGGATGTGAGTGCACGGGCTGCCCTCGTCATGGGGGGGGGGGAGGGGCAGCAGGTCACCGCACATCCAGTCACGCGGATTCGGGGGTTTCCAGGAGCATATAAAATCGAGGCTGACAGTACTCTGTCGTCTGTGAAGTGTGGCGTTGGATACGCACTGGACTGTGCACCGCAAGGTCGGCAGTTCAAACCCACCAGCCGCTCCATGATGAGGCTTTCTGCTCCCATAGAGATGGATGGTCTTGGAAACGGCACAAGGAAGGGTTCCTATAAGTCAGAACTAAGTCAGTGACAGAGGGCTTGGTTTAGGGCTTTGGTGGTAAGTGTGTGCAGTGGAAAAGTTGGAAATACTATGGGAATGACCAAAAGAGGCCACAAAGGAAATGCACGCTGTTGGGAAAACGGTGCCCAGACACGTGCTTGACTCAGGGCTGTCACAAACCTTCAGACTGTAAACACAAGCAAATCAAAAATGCCACCTGACAATGCCACGCCCAGCAGCAACCCTACGGAGCCATCCGTGTCTTCTGTGGCAGGATGACATCATCATGATGAGCTAACACAAGGGAGGCCCAAACATACAGGCAGCCCTGCAGCCCCCCAATTCTGCTTCATTGAATTGCACTTCCCTTATAAAGCCTTTTTGACAATTGAAGATTTGTGGCTCCCACGTTGAGCTAGTCTGTGGGTCCCACTTTTCCAACACTCTGTGCTTGTTCTGTGTCTCTGTGTCCCACTCTGGTCACACTCACAGATTTCCAATTTTCCCATCCCACACACTTCGTAGACAGCAGTCTAAGGGCCCACGTCACCTTTCTCTGCCTGGGGAAACCAAAATTCCCCCTCGACTCACTTTACTGTGATGTTTGGTTTCTTGCCATGGTCTGGAACTGAACTCACAATGTCTCTGAGTCTGCCTGCAGTGGAAAGTACTCTACCATCTTTGGAATTCTCTTTGGAAAATAACAATGTGTACAGATGTAAATGACTATAAAGAGGTTTCAACATGTTAGTGGAAATGGAATGGAAAGATAATGCACTCCATTTCCCAGAAACTTTTTGAAGTCCCCTTGTATATAACATATATAATTATGTCTCTATATCCATATACATGAAGCCATGGTGTGACACTGTAGGATCAGCACTGAACTGCACGGTCAGTTTGAACTACAAGGTCAGTGGTTCAAACCCACCAGCCGCTCCTCAGAAACCCTATACATATATGTTGCTATGAGTTGGAATCAACTTAAAGACACGTAACAACAATAACATCTATACCTATAATGAAATTCATTACTGTCTGTCTCTGAGGGCCCCTTATGGAACTGTGGTTAAGCACGTGGCTCTCCAAAGAAAATGTCACTGGACTGAACCCACCAGCTGCTCGTGAGAAAAAAATGGGGCCATTTACTTCTGTAAAGATGTACAACCCTGTAGGGCACTTCCGCTCTGACCTACAGGCTCCATATGACTCAGAACCAACTGGATGGCAATTAATCTCTGTCTCGAGCCCTGGAGTGGTGTTGTAGGATTAGCACTGGACTGCTAACCACAAGACAGATGGTTCAAACCCACCAGCAGCTCTTTGGAAATCCTATACAGGGTTGCTCTAAGTTGGAGCTGACTCAATGGCAGTTAACAACAACAGCATCTCTCTACCTCTCTCTCTATCTCATCTGTCTACTTACCACCTTTCCATCTGCCATCTATTATCCGGCTAGCTAGCTCTCTATCAATCCTCATGTATCTATCTATCTACTCCATCATCTATCATCTATATCCATGTATCCATCCATCCATCCATCCATCCATCCATCCATCCATCCATCCATCATCTATATCCATGTAGCCATCCATCATCTATGTATCTATGTATC